ACCAAGACCAGATCCACCTCCTATAGAGCTGAGGTTTTTTTAAAATCACTAAGCAGACTCCAAGTCACTGTGAGTTGGACTCTGGTAGCAACTAGCTTGGCTTTAATTATTTTTAAAAAATCTTTAAAATTCTTTCTTTTTCTTCAGGAAACTGGTGAGGCCCTGCCTCCCCTGCCTCTAATGAGTGCACGTCCCTGTTTAAAATATCATTAGGAAAGACAACAATATCATGCTAAATTGCCCCAATACTAAGCAATCCAAATATCTATTTGAACTTATTGCTACATTATTGGAAGTATTACATGGGGACAAAGAAGTGATAAATGCTAATTCTGCAAGAAGTAAATATAATACTTTAATCTATATTAGCAAATTTATTTTATGGGTAAGATACAATTAATTCTTAACAAAAATGTGCAATACCTAGAACTCATATATTTCAATTTCTTTTACACTGATCCAGGCAAATATATTCCATCACTTTGATTCAGTAATGGATCCAGACAATAAAATTTTTTAAGATACAAAAATAATAGTACAGAGTGGTACTTAAATGTCTATGAACATTTTTGAATTTGTAATAATTCTGTGTAAATATGACCTCAAACATAATCATTTTTCCAAGCAAATCCTAAAACTAGATAAGGAGAACTCAATTAACAAGTGAGTCAAAAACATTATATTTGTTCATCGATTTATTGAGGAAAATGATCCAAAGCTATATATTTGTATGTGACAAAACTGTGAACTTTTCCTTTCAGTAACTGGTGTGCTGTTCTTGGGTAGTGTTCACATCAATTAAATGTTTCTGATACCTGTTGATCAATCCTACATATCAGCTTGCAGGAATCTGAGCCCATTCCTCCTTTCAGAGCAGCTTCAAATTAGGGATGTTGATGGGCTTCCCCACAAGAACTGCTCATTTCAATTCCTCATACATTTCTCTAGGACTAAGGTCTTTAATTTATCATTCCAAAATACTAACTTTCCTCTGCTTTAACCATTCTTTGTCTTTGGAGATTCCCAATTATCTAGGCCATGGTTGCCCCAAAGGTGCTTTTTCAATAGGCAACTGGACTTCCTTGTTTTTCTTTAAAGACGTTTCACTTCTCATCCAACAAGCTTGATGATATTGTTCTAAATTACACAGATGGGTTAAAGTTCTTATGCTGGAATGCAGAATTAGCCTTTTGCCAAAGAGAATTATTCCAATAGCCTTCAGGCTTATTCACATGGTCTTTTGCAAACTACAGTTGGGCATCAATGATCTTTTATGGAGAATAGTGGCCTTCTTCTTGCAACCATGGCATGCATACTATTGCTGTTCAGTGTTCTTCTTATGCTATTCTCATCAATACTGACATTCTCCGTGTAAAAGAAGCCTTTAGTTCATTAGAACTTCCTGAGGTTCTTTGAGAACAAATATTTTATACCATTACTTTGGAGAAGGTAACTACCGGGTTGAATTGCCTCCATTTGTACACAATCTGGCTGACAGTGGGCTGGTCAAGTTTAAAACCTTTAGAAATAGTATTATAATATTTTCTAATCTGGTAGACATTAATAGCTGTTTTTCAGATGTCCTTAGATATTTCCTTTGTTCAAGCTATGAAACACTTCTAAATATCTATTATGAGGTAAGAGTTTAACAGAGAATTTCCAGAATTCTCTTCTTAAATAAAGAGGACCTACTACACTCATACCTGATTATCATCCTTTGATTGAAAGAGCTGACTATAATTTCCCCTTTAAATGAATTGATAATCTAGAGGTTCACATACCTTTGTCATATAGCTTTGGATCATTTTTATGCATTATTTTTGTATCCAGCATAATTATTATGGATCCACTATTGCCCATCTGCAGCATTTATTTTTCACCTCCATCTAAAACACAAACAAAACACCTGCTGCTGTACCAGATGGCAATTAAATCAATCAATTAATAAAACTATCTGAATAGCTGAATATAAGATAAATATCTTATTTTGTGGTATTGCAACAAAACAGATTATAGACCTATACAAAATCCAAATTTGTATTTATAAATTGCTATAGGATGCAACTGTACAATGCAAAGCTAAGCAGACCATAAAGTATGTCATCTTCAACAAGTCATCTCCTAAATTTTAAAATTGTATATATTCTCATGTTACAATGAAAAAATTATATATTTAGCCAAACTGGAAAGAAATGAGAGGTGCTGNGGCAATATGCTGACTCTGTAAACCGCTTAGAGAGGGCTGAAAGCCCTATGAAGTGGTATATAAGTCTAACTGCTATTGCTATTGCTATTGCTACTCCCGCAGGCTTTAGAGACACACCTTACAACCTGGCTTTGGTAATCTGAGATACAATATTTGAAGAAGGTATGTGTGGAATATGCCCCCCCCCCTTGCTTCTAATGGCAACTTGAAAGTAAACTAGAAATGCTTTTGACAGAATCTTTGCTCTTGTAGAAAATGCAAATTAAGTAGAGGGTGTCTGATGTGAATTCTGAATTGAGAGGGTGTAGATCAAGAATTTAAGATTTAGTTTCACTGCGATTATGTAAGTACAGGAAGTCCTCAACTTACAACAGTTCATTTAGTAACCATTCAAAGTTACAATGCACACTGGAAAAAGTGACATGATCATTTTTCATACTTATGATTACTGCAGCATCTCCATGGTCACATGATTTACATTTGGATACTTGACAACTGATTCACATTTATGTTAGTTACAGTGTCCCAGGGTCATGTGGTTATCTTTTGCAACCTTCTGACAAGCAGTCAATGGGAAAGCCAGTTTCACTTAACAACTAATTTAAATTACTGCAGTAATTCACTTACAAATGTAGCAAAAGTTGTAAAATTGGGCAAAATTCACTTAACATAAATTCTGGACTTAATTGTAGGTCATAAGGCCAGAGCAACTGACAATTACAATGTTGTGTCAATATGCTATTCATTTATTTATTATTATAATTCACTGTTGAACGTGTTTGTTATCAAGTTTCAGCCATTACTCCAATTGCAAGCTCTCACAATGTGACCTACACTTTTCAGAAAAATTCCATAACCCTCAGAATAAAATTTATCTCTCACATGTTTACTCTCTGTGTGTATATGTGTTAGTGTGTACATATACATATGCCTATTTTTTATTATGTGTCTTGTGCCTGAACAGTGGCCTAAATCATTTCATGACACAAATCATCTCAAGTATTTGTCAAGTGACCTATAATCAACTTTTCAAGGTCTCTCAAATAATAATTGTATACAAACATTGCCATTAAGAAGATGTCTATGGAAAGAAAACCAATCTGAGATTCATAAACTTTCTGTTTCAGAGTATTTACTAAAAAATTAACAGCCATACTTTTAATCACAGTGTGTGCACATTTTTTCCAGTTGAGTTTTGCCTTAATACACCAGTATTTCTTGCAATCCTTCCCATAATAACAAAACTCTTCTACACTAATTTAAAATTTAAACACTTGGTGCTAGATTAATGTTCACCTTTCGAAAATGTCAAATGCATCGATATTGCTACATAAAAATTATTGTAACTTTCAGCTGTTTGTTTAACAACTTTTCACAATTATGATAGCACTTAAGAAAGGGATTTACAATCCCTGTCCAGAATTACAGCCCCGCAGCATCCACATTAACGAAAGTTTGGCACTTGACAATCCCCCCACTCTTACGATCACGATAGGAATGCTGCAGGAGTTCTTCACCTATCTTCTCTGCTCTGCTTCCTGCTCCGCTGGGTTCCACATGCTCCTCCCCATCCTCCGTCAGAACTCAATCCACTTATTTTTTCCATAGATCTTTTTTAGGAAGTAGCCAAGTCTCCAGACAGCCTTTTTACATAGAAGTCATGTGATGCTAACCCAGAAAGAGGTGCCAATGAATTGTGGCCCCTGACAAAATGGCACCCACTTCTGGAACAGGGCAATGACAAGTATGAGATGGAGAGGTGCTGCAGTGAAGGCCTGGATAAGGCCACACAGAGCTTTCCCCACTCCTGAGGCCCTCCATATTCTGCTTAGTGACCACAATGGGAAGAATAGGGATTATAACAGGGAAGTGATCACATGAGCACTTTGCTTAATGACTACTATGATTTACAACTGTAATAGGCATGTTCCATTACAGTTGTAAATCAAGCAATACCTGTAAACAGCAGGAAGATACTACATATTATCTTGATTGATAGCAGTCATTTTACTAATATGCAATACCTAGTGAGAAGGAAGAAGAGGGACTCAAGGAAGAAGAAATACCCAGAATAGTTTCTTAAAAATAAAGAAAATGAAGATCTCCTTTTGCATCTTCAATTATTGTTAGGTTTTATAAAATCAGCACTATGAAATTTAGCATTTTTGTTAGGTCACTTCATGTTAATGTTAAAATGGAACAGGGGAGAATGAGATTGATAAGAAGTCTTCAAGTTAGCTGATGCCATGAACACTAGCATTCCTTTTATGAGACTCCGCCAGCATAGAGGTTGCTGACTGTGCTGCTCACCCCCTGTCACGCTGGTCATATTGTGTGCCCTACATCTCCTCTCAGCATAAGGTGACATAAAGCTGTTGCATCGTCTTCCTCACATGACCTGTGAAGAAGCATCATTCACAGTTTAAGGAGATTCTCTTCTCCAGCTGTTGCATAATATTGTGGTTCTGAATTGATAATACATAAATAATAACAACAATACAGATGACCATCAACTACAAACCTATCAGAGTATAAAAATAAATTAATATTAGTAATACATCTCCATTTAATAGATAATATTACATGAAACATGCTTCAGTTTTAATAAACAGGACAAAAGTAAGAAACCCAAATTTGCACTCATGTATAGACTTCCAGCATTCCATTTGTATCCTCTAAGCATGCTGAGATTTTGCTGCTTAAATTTAGTAAAACTGGCTGAATTTGGGAGAAGGTTTTTTAAGGATATAAAGGGAATATATTGTTGAGAACAGTTGTCCAGAGTCATCTTATAGGGGAGATGGGTGGCATAAAATTTAATAAATAAAATAAAAATAAATCATTCTCCTATCTTTATTCTCTCCTGAAAGGTGAAAAAAATAGCAAAACACGCCTCTTTTAGTGATATTTCAGAATCACCTGATATCCTTCTGTGGCATTAAGAAGGTCAGAGGGATTGTTGTAGCATCCTATTTTCACAAGTACTGTTCACAAGCTTTTATGGAGCATAAGGGGGACCGTTTTACCTTTTTAAATTGTTTTTTTAATATGAATTCTGAAAATTCTTCATTAGCTCCATTTCATTATACTGATATGTATTTTCAGAGAGAAGATTTCGAATATTGCATTTTTGTTTTAAAATTTATCCATTGGCCTTACTGCTGCTTATAACTGCTAAAATGGGAGTTGGCAGAAAGGTGAACCAATTAGGCCCTCTCTTTGGGGGAACAAAATTAATGAGATCCCCTGAGCAGCAAAGCAGGAGGGGTGACATTCTACTCTAAAAAGTATTATTTGATTGGTCCAGTTCCTCATATGTATGTATGCAATGATGGCAGCCATTCAAACATGCATTAGGGAGAGTGTTCAGAGAATTTGCAATTTTTGTCCTGAAAATAGGGACATGAGGCAACAGACAGGCAGCCAGAAAAGAAGAAGTAACAGAAGCAGTAAGAGGGTGTGAACAAGAGTGGGAAAAATACATTTTCTATTACTCTGCCAATGGATTAATAGAGTGACATCCTAATTTTTTTTACTTGTACCAGGTGTACATCAACTAAAACAAACTTACAGGTTCTAGTGGCTGCATACAGTTGCAAGAAAAAGTATGTGAACCCCTTGGGATTACGTGGAGCTTTGCATGAATTGGTCATAAAATGTG